AAGCAGGAACTGTAGTCAAAATCTGTATTCTCGTTTCAATTCTGAGTTATTGCCTAGAAGAGCATGAACAAAACAATCCCGTTAATTCCTCCATTCATTCAGTGACTAGTTTGTACTAATTACTAAGCTAGGTGCTGAGAACACAAAGATACGTAAAACACATTCTGTCCCTTTAAAAAAAAAAGTTATTTCAGAGAGAGGAAGGGAGAGGGAGAGAGAGATGGAAACATTGAGAGAGAATCCTCATCGGCTGCCTCCCACACACTGCCACCTCCCCCAACCCCCCCCATTGGGGATTAAGCCCAAAACCAAGGCATGTGCCCTGACCAGGAATCAAACCTTAACCTCCTAGGTCATGGGTTGACGCTAAACCACTGAGCCACACTGGTGGGCCATTCTCTGTTCTTATGTAATTCATTATCTAGCAGTTTAAAGAGGTAAGCATATAACAGAGTGATAAGTCCCATGATAAAAGATTTATACAAGGCCCGGCTGGTGTGGGTCAGTGTTTGAGTGTCGGCCCATAAACCAAGAGGTCCCTGGATTGATTCCTGGTCAGGGCATGTGCCCAGCATATGGGCTCAATCCCCAATAGGGGTGTGCAGGAAGCAGCCCATCAGCATTTCTACCTCTCTATCCCTCTCTAAAATCAATAAAAGCATAGTAAAAAAAAAAATTATATAATTTACACAAGGTATTATGGGAACTCAGAGATGAGAGAGACCTACTAGTTCAGATCAGTGCTGGAAAGAGAAATCAGAAAATACTCCAGGAGGTGTCCCTGAGGAATTCTTAAAAGATGAGTAGGTGGAACCGAGACCGGTTTGGCTCAATGGATAGAGCGTCGGCTTGGGGACTAAAGGGACCCAGGTTCGATTCCGGTCAAGGGCATGTACCTTGGTTGCGGGCATATCCCCAGTAGGGGGTGTGCAAGAGGCAGCTGTTCAATGACTCTCTCTCATCGATGTTTCTAGCTCTCTATCTCTCACCCTTCCTCTCTGTACAAAATCAATAAAATATATTTAAAAAAAAAGAAAAAAAAAAGATGAGTAGGTGGAGCATATTCCAGATGGGGGTGGCTCCCAGATGGGGGTGGCTCTCTGGGGCAAAGGCATACTCAAAGTTCAATACTATTGGCAAGAAGGTTCAAAGTAAAGGGTCGAAGATATGAACTGAAGAGGGCCAGGTCATGGAGAGGACATTGTATTTAATATCTTGGCTATCAGTGGTTATCAGTGAGCATGCTGCAATACACTGAGTCATGAATTCTTTACAGGTGTGCTGTTGAAGCTTGATCAGTGTGTAAAATATATTTCTATATGGTGTCTTTTGACACATACAGGATAGGACAAAAGTAGGTTTACAATAATGAGTTCATGAAAGTTTACTCATTAGTGCCCTGGTGCATGGTGCATGGATTTGTGCACACATTGAAAGGAAATTAATCCCTGGCAGGGGCCAGGACTGGGCAAACAGGCCAGACATGCCCTGGGGCCAGCCTCCTGTGGTCCCTCCCCAGCCATCTGCATGTGCTGTGGCTCGAAGAGCGTCTGTGGAGTGAATGGGGTACCTTCGGCAGGTGGGGTTCCTTGGCCTGGCCTGTGGAGATTGGGCCAAAATCAGCTCTCGGACATCCCCAAGGAATCCCAGATTGCGAGAAGGCAGTTGTCAGGTGACACACCCTAGAATCAGGCTCCTTCCTCTCTGGTTCCAGGGTGAGTCACCAGAGAACTGCAGCTACCAAGTCACTGCAGCTCAGCAGTCCCTATGCTGAGCATCTACCCACTGGTGGTCATTGCATGTCACAGCCTTCAGTTGGACGATCACTTGGCTTTTATTTATAGAGGCCTGGTGCACAAATTCGTGCACAGGTAGGGTCCAGCCAGCTCATCCCAATTATAGTTGGGCCAGCCAGGGGGAGGAGCTGTGGGCAGTTGGCCAGCCGGCCCCGCCCCCTGGTCAAACTCCCAGTTGAACTTCCAGTCGAGAGGACAAACTGCATATTAGCCTTTTATTATGTAGGATTGCATTATTTTTCACATGAACACCTATAAATTTACTTTTGCCCCACCCTGTATTTTGATGTGCTGAGTTGAACTAAAATATGCCAGCAAGTAAGCAAAATGCAAGAGGTATAACACAAAACCAGGCCCAAAAAAGGATGATGGTCCGGGCCAGTATGGCTCAGTGGTGGAGTGTGCACTGAAAGGTCACTGCTTCAGCCTGTCAAGGGCATGTAAGGGAGGCAAGTGATCAGTTTCTCTTTCATATTAATGTTTCTTCCTCTCCCTTCCTAAGGAAAAAATTAAAAATATTAAAAAACAAAAAAGACTGTTTAGTGAAACATTTAAGATCTTTGCTTCATGACTATGGAAAAATATGTAGCCGAGTTAAAGATTTCACCCATCAGCCCAGCAAGTGTGGCTAAATAAAATGAGAATCGTCCTGTACACCAAAAGGCTGCTGGTCCAATTCCCTGTCAGGACACATACCTCGGTTGCAGGTTTGATCCCTGGTAGGGATGTGTGCAGAAGGCAACAGATTGCCACACTGCTGCAGCCCCGGGACAGATTCCCAGGGCAGAGTGTGGACACAGTCAGCAAAGCCAGGACGCAGGGCTTTCCCGCTGCTCTGTGATCTTAGCGAATCTGCAAGTAGCTCACAAAGGCGAGGGGTGGGAGGAACTTGGTGTGATTAGATATGGGGGGAGGGCAAAGAGAAAAACAAAAGCCTCGGTTTAATATCTCCCAATTATGCCCTCTCCCACGAGTAAGCCATAGTGACCAATAGCATCGCTGCACTTAAGAGTGATAAAGGTGAATGTTACCGAAACCAGACAGATTCAGCTGCTAAGAACATGATATGACATAGCAATTTCTGTACTTACTGCTGGGTGGGTGTGGTTAGTCATCAGGACAGGCCCTGATGGTCAGTTGAGCAACTGAACCTTGTTCTAGTCATAACGCTCTAGAGGCTGCACGTGGGGCGTTTCGGCTTGGGGAGGCGAGGGAAGTAGACGAGAACTGTGTTCAAGTTTCCTGTCCTGGGCTCCATAGCCACATTATGCAATATTCCAGTGTGCAGCAGAAAACTCGTAATTATTAGTGCGAGAAATGGAGAAACAGTGCAAACTGAGACATTTAAATGTGAATAAATTCTAAAGATTGAAATGAGAGTCAAAAGACCAATTAATTGTTTAAAAGTTAATTCTGTTTTTAACTAACAGATATTCTTAACCAATCTGAAACATTTTAAATTTTCCCATGTATCTACTTAGGGTCCCTGTATCTGCTCATCCCACCCTACCAGCCTCACCCTCAGGAGATGACTGAGGGTTGGGTTGGTGCGTTCACACAGAAAAGCAGCAGGATAATCTAAGTATCCAACTGGCTTGTGAGAAGGAAGGAAAAACCCCACCCCTTTATTTCTCCCTTCAAACATGATAAAGGAGGCAGAAGACAGCACGTTTAAGTGAAATGTTTACATTTATATTGAAATATGCACTACAACAGAATGAGTTCACTGGTCAATGAGACTTTGCCAAAGCGGAATCACAGACCCGCGCCGGGAGGTCCAGTCCGCTAGCAGCAGTGCTCCCCACGCAGGAACGCCGACAAGAAGCTGGGAGACCCCACTCCAAAAAGCCTCCTTTCAAGAGACCCAACTCACTTCTCCCACATGCACCCACACAGACTCAAGAACGTGGACATGACCACGATTTCAATGTTTTCAGTTTCTTCACTGCAATAAATATAAACTGGCAATGCTCATACACCACAGCACAGACAATATTTCAGGCTTTAGCAGACAACTGTAAACAGTGACTAGGCTGAAAAATAAATTTGGAATTTAACAATGTGACAGAATTTATAACAGCAGGGAAAAGCTACTCAAGATGTTTTATGTGGGTTCAGGTTTTTGACAAAAGATATAGTCCAAAAAGGCTCAGGACAGTCTAGAATATTATGGCAGCAAAACAACAGGTCCAAGATCACCCCTGGCAGCCCATCTTTCACCTCCACATTCAACATGCAATCGCAGAAACTGTTCTAGTGTCATCACCAGCTGCTACTTAATGTAGTAGGAACAGGTGGGCAGAGGACGTAAAATTTGCCGGTAGAGGAACAGAATAATACCTCTGCAAAATTAGCCCCTTAATCATAATGACAACTAGGACATTTCATCTGGACAGTGCATTAAATTTATATATAGGAGAGAGGAGAGAGGGGAGGAAGGAGAGGGAGGGAGGGGGGGAGAGGGGGAGAGAGGGGGGGAGAGGGGGAGAGAGAGAGAGAGAGAGAGAGAGAGAGAGAGAGAGAGAGAGAGAGAGAGAGAGAGAGAGAGAGAGATCCAAAGACTAAGCGTTAAGTTCTGTCACTGTAGCAAACTGGGATGTCGATGAAAGAAAAATACAGGGTCTTCCCCAAAAACATATACAAACTTTTGCAGCTGATAGCTCAATTTTGGAAATGAAGTGTATTTTAATAAACACTGCCTTTATAATTATTCATTTTGGGGACACCTAGATAACACTTTCTGCCTAAGGCAGTGCTGGCAAGAAATGAGAGTGGACTCAGTATCAATGGGGCAGACTTTTATTTACGAGGCTAGTGTTTCAAATACTATTGCTTGAATAGCTCCAGTAAGTAGAAAATGCAGTGATATCTCAGGTCTGTACATGTGAGCACAGGAGCTGGAGGCCAGCACACACAGGGACACTGAGTCCTCTGCTGCTGGGGCACCCTGACTCCCACCCTCTGACCAACAGAAGACCTGGACAGGAAACTGTCTTTTCACACACAAAATTGTGGCTTAGTTAGTTATTCTCCCTAGAACTTTACCCAAGCTAAGAAAAAAAAATTGTCTTGAAAAATTCAAGAACCTGGGTTACTAAAAATAAAAATTTAAAATAGTAAACAAGTTTAGTAAACATCATGTGTACTTTCTTTTGTTAATGAAGACATGATACATTTAGAAAACTATGTATGTATTTTTTTCTTAAAAAGACAAAAACCAAAAACAATAAAATTCCTAGAAAGAGGCTTGACAAGAAAAGAACACATCAGCCAAGCTCTATCCCTCAACCAGGACTGGCTCAGCACAAACAGCACCCTCCGCGCCCCCGAAGCACTGCTGTCGGCCCGGAGGCGGACATGGGCGTCCGCCGCAGTTACTGACCCAGAATGTTAGCAAAGCACTGCAGAGCACATCTGGACAGGCTACTTCAGTATCTCCCTGGTCCAGTTTAAATCTGTCTGTAGACCCAGTTTGTACACATTTCATAGGAACAAGAACCATCCACTGTCCCCTTGTTTCAAAATGGCAGTTCCTGTAGCTCAAACCATTCAGATAAAAGAGCTCTCTTGAAAGAAATTCTCAGAAGACACATTAAGAAGAAAGCCTGAAAGTTAAACAAGCCCGAGGCGGGGAGGGGAAGGAATCACGTGGGATGTTTATTCTGAAGAACAGTTCCACCTGTTTCCCCATGAGAAAAGGCCAAACTTTCAGACTGATATAATTTAAAAACTAAGACAATACAAAAATAAAATATACACCCTAGATACTAAAAAACTTGAAATAATGCCAGAGTTTATGGAATGAAAAATAGAAGAGGTCTGATCCTCCCCAACCCCCACCAAAAAGGGAAGGAAGGAAGGAAGGAAGGAAGGAAGGAAGGAAGGAAGGAAGGAAGGAAGAAAAAACTGTAACAGGCTCTAAGGGAAAAGCAAACCAAACAAACCACTCCGGATCTGGATAGCACTACACAGACTCTAGCGCAAAACACACACAAGAATGCGTCACATCAGAATATCATGAGAGTAACTGGCTGGGTACTTACATGCCCAGCAACAGAGCTCCGAGGTCAAAAAATGTGTTAAAGCTGGTAACATCAGCAAGGACCCCTCCAAAAAAGGAGCAAAGGATGCATGCATGGGTCTGTTCAGACATGATATTCAGCAGCATAAAAATAATACCCACCACAGAGTACCCCAATTGGGGCAAAACCTATTCTTCACTGCTAAGCCTGGGAAAGATAAGACGGTGGAACAAACCACTTGTAACTATAGCATCTCCCATATTTGAATGACAAGTATGTCCAATCTGATGTTATATGTCAAAATATTGAGAATACACGAATAAAGGAAAAAAGAAACAAAAGGCTAAATTATGAACCTTAAAAATTGGAAAAAACCATGTTTTAAAGCCAAGTAGGTGTGATTCTGATCATCGTTACATATGACATAATCCATAGAAAGAAAGGCCAAGAAAAGAATCTTCATTTTGTTCAGTACTTAGGCTTGATGTCATTCTAGGTGAAACAGTGATAGTTCAATAAATGCGCCACACATACAACTACAAAGTCCCCTTCTGGTTTCAAATGAATTTAAACAACCATCTTCTCTTAACTACTTCTTCTCCTGTGTCAAACAAACCTATGTACAGGACCAGTTTCAATCCCTCCTCCCTTTCCAACACTAGATATGAACATCCAGGAACATCCTACAACGCCAAGTGCCTCAGGAAAGAGAAGGCTCCGAGTGCCAGTGACATAACTGATCTGAGGAAGGGGGATGCAGTGAACACTGATGGCAGCCAGTCAGGCGATGGTGGTTTGCTTCTCCTCAGGGGTTTCCTCCAGCAGCTGCATGATCAGTTCGTGGAGGGGTTTGCAGATCTTTGCGTAGCCCCCTCCCGTGAGATGCAGAAAATCAAACATGTCGTGGCAGGAGATGGCACCGTCCGAGTGCACGAAGCCCCCGTCGGTATCCAGGAGCTGAACGTTGGCAAGCTTTGGCAGGGAAACCTTGAGGAGCTGGTTCACCTTGGCATTCTTTTGCCTCAAAGGGTTGGGCTTCTCACCTCGAGGTAACAAACCCTGGGCAGAGCAGAAAAGAACATAAGATGAGAAGAGTCTTTTGCTATGTCTACTTATTTGGCACTTGCTACATCTTGATTTCTGAAACACTGGACCAGCTTGGTTTAAATAAGTTCTCTGACCATCCCTTCTCAGTCTCTCCAGCTGTTCCTCTTACTCCTCCTGTCCCTGAATCATTGATATTCTCAGGGTCGTCTCCTTGGCTCACTATTCTTCCCAGTCTGAAAACTTTGGCCCAATCTCTCCCTAGAGCTTCAGAACTACATACTGAACATCAGCTACAAGCAAACGTGAATGCTCCTGTGGCACTCCCAACTCACTTCACAGGCCCAACTTCCCCCAAACTATGCTCCTTCTACATTTTTTGTACCAGCTGGTCATTCCAACACCCCAAGTCTCTTCCACACACCTTATCTATTTATCATTAAATTACTCAGCTTTTGTACCCTAAACATTTACCAATCCATTCTGATTATACACACTGCTGTGGCTGGTTACTCACACCTCCATTAACGTAAAATCTCTTGACTGGTCTTTCTATGGCCAATGTTGTCTTTCCTTCACATCATTCTCAACACCGTCACTAGAGTAATCTAGCTCAAATACACACCTATTTGTTAACGCCACATGGAACCTACACGACTGCACATCAGAAATAGAGTTGGAACAAATACTGTCTTGAAGAACCAGAGACACAAAATATCTGGTAGATTAAAACAGAGATGTGTCCTAATTTGTTTTTAACTTATATGATAATGATCTAATATGATTTTCAGATAAAGTAGGTATCTGTCCTTGTATAATAAATAAAAACCTGGTCTTATATGATAAGAGCAAGGTTTTATCATCTCAAACTAGAAATGGCCTTTAAAAACCATCAAATCTACTATAAAATTAGTCAGACACCCACAACCTTTTAGTTGGTTAATAGCTGATGATGACATCTATTTCTACTACAGAGTACAGTAAGAGGTCTTATTTCACAAAAATAGATTTTTTGTGGGTGTTCTATTAAAAGATAATTTTTATTATGCCCAGAGTAAGTACTTGTTCATGCCCGTTTTACATTTTTTTTTCAGCAAAATTTTGGGGCCTTGATTACCAATTGTTAGTTCCAAAAGAGAATCATGACTCTGCTACCCTCATTCATCTTCTTTTATCCTTGTTAAAAGTGCCTCAAAATGTCACAGGTGAGCCCTGGCCGTTGTGGTTCGGTTGGGCATCATCCCATACACCGGAGGGTTGCTGGTTCGATTCCTGCTCAGGCTCAGTCCCCAGTGGGGTGTGCAGGAGGCAGACCAATGTTTTACTCTCACATTGATGCTTTTCTCTCTCCTTCCTCCTTATTCTCTTAAAAAAAAAAAAAAAAAAAAAAAAAAAAAAAAAAGGTCACAGATGAGGTCATCCTAAGCCCTAGTTTATATATGACTTAGAATGAGCAACCAGGAAGGATGGCCAGTGAACAATAAATACATACTTTGTTCTGACTTTCAAGTAATACAACAGCAGTCAAAGCCATAAAGATTGATTAAGCCTCAAGAACTGGGCAGCATACCTAATGAAATTTTCAAGCAAGAATGAGGAAAGTAGCCGAGACCGGTTTGGCTCAATGGATGGAGCGTTGGTTTGGGGACTGGGGGGTCCCAGGTTCGGTTCTGGTCAAGGGCATGTACCTGGTTGCGGGCATATCCCCAGTGGGGGGTGTGCAAGGGGCAGCTGATCAATGACACTCTCTCATCGATGTTTCTAACTCTGTATCTCCCTTCCTCTCTGTACAAAATCAATAAAATATATTAAAAAAAAAAAAAAAAGAATGAGAAAAGTAGATAAGTATTTGCATATATTTTCCTTAATATCAGGGTATGCCATGGGACTTTCCCCCTAAAATAATTAGTAATTGCTAAAATATTATGTTAACACAAACACAGCTCTCTGGCGCACCGGGTTCCTGGCTCTCCTGTGGCAGGGACATGCCCCCTGCGCCCACGTGGCTTATGGCCATCTGGGACTCCCAACATGGACTCGTGGACTTAATTAGCTTAGAGACCGAACCATGCCAGGTACACCCTGGAACAGAAGCTCTGGACACGGGCTGCTTTTCGCTCTCTTGGAACCCTCGCTTTCCAGCACTAGCTTAAGGGCATGGGGTCTTGAAACTTGAGAGAAAGAAGCTTCACAGGCACCCGCTTTGGGCCCCTTCCCTGTTGCAGGGAGTCGATCTATCCTCCCATAAACGTTGCTTTCACTTAAAAACAACAACAACAACAAAAACACACAAAAAATTATGCTCCTAATCCCTTTACTAATAACAATAATTGTTGCCTTTTCCAATTGCATATATAATTTTAAGTAATTCTAAGTAAAAGATACAGTTTATTCAAAATTTTCACTTAAGTACATCTCAAGTTGTTGTTGATTTTTAAAAAAATATATTTTATTGGTTTTTTACAGAAAGGAAGGGAAAGGGATAGAGAGCTAGTCACATCGATCAGCTGCCTCCTGCAGACACGCCCTTGACCAGAATTCAACCTGGGGCCTTTCAGTCCCCAGGCTGATGCTTTATCCACTGAGCCAAACCAGTTTCGGCATCTCAAGTTGTTTTTGTGCAGTTTTCATAATTGTCATTTGATTAATGCTATTATGTAAATGGCCTGTGCAATCATTCCCCCATGGGGTTAACTGGTTAGGTTATTGCCAATGTTTTAGTGTTGTAGGTAGAACCACTGTACATCAGATTTAAGTCTGATTGAACTAAAGAATATGTATGGAGGATTTATTCAACAACTTCATGCGATAAATATGTCCTAAGCAAGTACTATGGACTCGGCACTGTACTTCAGAACTCATAACTACAATATAATCCTTTCTGGAACAAGGCAAGATATGAGTAAGTAAATTAAATGACACGAGATACCACATAATAAAAATAATTTTTAAAAGACCTGGCACCTGGCCTCTGTGGCTCAGCAGTTGAGGGTCAACCTGTGAATCAAGAGATCACAGTTGGAGTCTTGGTCAGGGCACATGCATGGGTTGTAGGCCTGACCACCAGTGAGGGAAGGGCAGGAGGCAGCTGATCAACGATTCTCTCTCATCACTGATGTTTCTATTACTTTCTCTCCCTTCCTCTCTGAAATCAATAAAAACATATTTGAAGAAACGGACAAAAAACAAATCTGGTTCCCCAGCATCTGTAAGATAAAATGCAAACTCAACATGGCATACAAATTCCGAAACGCCCTGGCTGTGGCCTCTCTCTGAACAATCCTACTCTCAAACTTTCCCAATGACAACCTGAACTGCTTCTAGCACCCGTGCTCACTCACCCAGCAAACACATACATGAAGTTTTTGATCATTTTATTTTGTCCTCTGTAATGCCTTCTCTTCTTTCTGATCCCCATTTGGAGACCAATTAATTCTTTAAAACTAAACTCAGATATCAACTATATGTCTAAAACATAGTATACAGTGTAATAAATCTCTATCCTGCTGTCCACCCACCAGGCTGTGAGCGCCTTGAGAAGTACTATGTCTGCAGGACCTAGGAGAGTACTTTGCACACAGCAGTCCTCACATGTTTGAGTAAATGCCTATCTTCTTAATACTATTTAATTCAAGAACTGAACACATCAGATTTTGCTAAAACATACTTTTTTAGTTGGACTAAGGATATCTACAGGTACACTTGTCTGTGAAACAGACTGTTGTTTGTCTCTGAGACTGTAAAGACTCACTGCTTTAACTCTACAAAGGGTATCACTTTCTGTCAAGGTTAAGACTATGAAGTACCCATTTTCTTTTATTTTAAAAAAATATATTTTATTGATTTTTTTTTTTTTTTTACAGAGAGGAAAGGAGAGGAATAAAGAACCAGAAACATTGGGGATGTGCCCGCAGCCAAGGTACATGCCCTTGACAGGAATTGAACCCAGGATCTTTCAATCCGCAGGCCAACGCTCTATCCCCTGAGCCAAACTGGTTTTGGCAATAACCATTTTCTTTTCTTTTCTTTTCTTTTCTTTTTTTTTTTAAATATATTTTTATTGATATTTCACAGAGAGGAGGAAGGGAGAGAGATAGAGAGCGAGAAACATCGACCAACTGCCTCTTGCACACCCCCTACCAGGGATGTGCCCGCAACCAATGTACATGCCCTTGACCAGAATCGAACCTGGGACCTTTCAGTCCTCAGACCAACGCTCTACCACTGAGCCAAACTGGTTTCAGCTACCCATTTTCTTAGTGATGAATTCTCTGATATGTCAGGGAATTCAGAGATCCAATGACTACACCACCTTTAACATATTAACAGTGACACAGAACACACCACATCTAAACTAGTCCAAACTCAGGGCTATTAAAAAGAGACTCAGAGCCAGGACCGGTTTGGCTCAGTGGATAGAGCATCGGCCTGCGGACTGAAAGGTCCAGGTTTGATTCTGGTCAAGGGCATGTACCTTGGTTGCGGGCACATCCCCAGTGGGGGGTGTGCAAGAGGCAGCTGGTCGATGTTTCTCTCATCGACATTTCTAACTCTCTGTCCCTCTCAATTCCTCTCTGTGTAAAATCAATAAAAATATATTAAAATAAATAAATAAAATAAAAAATAAAAAAATAAAGAGATTCAGAACTAGGACAAGTCTTATATGTAATTTTAATAATTATTAGAAGACAGTTAAAAATTTTAAAAATAAGGCTACCTGAGGCAACAAAGAGGGTTTCTACTTCTAAATAAGGATGAGAAGCTAAAAACTGACCCTACAGCTGGTCTGGTAAATGATGAGACTGCTAAGACAATGGAATATATCAGAGAAGTGTTTCTCAGGAGTATTATACCTGCTTCCACCTAAAGATTCATGAACCTCACATTTCTAAGATTCCTCACCTGACCCAATCGTATCAAGGTCTCCACCCCCCAAAGACTACATACCAACACAATGATTTTGGCCTGTGGCTGCCTTGTGTTGATAAGTTGTACGATGGCCTCGATTCCACCTGCTACTTCTTCTGCAGTATTTTCATGGTTGTTTGTTCCTACCCAGACAACAATGACCTATAATTTAGGGGGGGGGGAAAGAGGGGTAAGTACCCAGGAATAAAGGAATTTCTCAAATGGTACTAATTTCAACTGAGCAATCACCTTAAAACACTGATTCACACCTCATATATATTAAAATAAATTCCCAGAAGGAAAATAAGAGAATTCTTTCATCACAATGGAGTTGGAAGCTAATCTCTTAAAAACTAGACATTCTACAGAAAACATAACAAGTTCAATGTCTAAAAATAAAACCTGTGCATATCAAAAAATTTAAATAAAGTGAGATCTAAGAAATCTGGGGGGAAATATTTGCTACCTGTGTAACAAAGTCTCCTTGCCTGGAAGTACTACAGAACCCAAGGGAGTGTGACAGGATAAATACACAGCTGCATCCAGGAAGTCACTGGGGTGCAAGCTGGATGAAGTTTTAACAAGGTTTTCTCTTTTTTAAAAATGTCTCTAAGTGTATGTCTATCACCTAGAGACATACATCTTACTTTTCCATACTATCACAAAAGAGAGGAACCCGGATGAGTTTTTCTATTAGAAAGGCAAAGAGTAAAATAAAACTAAAGCAGTTGATATCAGTGGCTCGGCTTTGCTTCTTTCTTTGAGGCTGGGAGAAGCATGGAAGATGTTTATAAGGTGAAGGTACTGGGAACATTTGTGGTGCACCTTTGGTCACATCGGCTTCCAATGTTCTTCAGAAGACCTCGGAGACGCTGATGACCAATTTGTCTATGTGGTTAAATAGATCCAATTACTTCCTGTGGGGAATCTTGGCCCTGCTCCCAGGGCCCACCTCCGAGCAGCTTACCCCTCATACTGCCTCAGGTTCATAGACTTGCACACCTCATTAGCAACACCTCTCCCTACAGTTGAAAAGTGTACAATTACAAATACCATTCAAGCATGTATGCTGATTTCTTTCCTTTTTTTTTTTTTGGTTAATCCTCACCCAAGGATCTTTTTTTCATTGAATTTTAGACAGAGTGAAAGAGAGGGGGAGAGACACAGAGAGAAACATTGAAGTGAGAGAGACATATCGATTGGTTGCCTGCAATCCAGGTACGTCTTTGACAGGAATTGACCCTTTGGTCCTTGGGCCGGTGCTCCAAACTGAGCCAAACTGGCTCGGGCTGATTGCTTAATTAAATGTGTATTTGGAATGTTCTTAAGTAATAACAATATCATTCATCTTAGTAGGGTATGAACCAAAGAACAACAGTGAAATAATGCTTTGAAGCAACCTTTTTACTACTAGTTTTAGACAATTTGACTATCTGAAAAATACTCAAGACTAACAATATTCTTTAAAAAATAAGTTTCATTTCACCTTAGGTTTAATATTCTCCAGCTCTCCATTCTTTAGCCTCCATAAAACATGTCTTGTTGTATCTCCTCCAATTCCAAAATTCAGTGCATGGAGTGGGGAAAAAAGTTCTCGCCATATCTGAAAAGAGAAAAACTTGATTTATTTAAGCTGAAATTTGTGGGAAATAAAATCCCCTAATCGCAATGTGCCTGAAATAACAATTCTCATTTTCTGCATCCACACAGCACACGGTAAGTACTGTGCTCCTCGGTTAAGGACTCGGAAGATGCCACTGTACAACTCGGCTCTCCGTGCAGCACTCCGTCTCAACTCCAGAAAGTCACTACTCAACCTGCTGCCCCGTAAGAGGCTGCGATACTTATAAATAAGTTACCAACTGAATAAACTCTCCCTTCCCTTTATTCAATCATTTAAAGGATCAGGGTAAAATAGAAACACGAGATGAAGATATGCTGGAGCCAAACAGAAATAACACAAAGAATAAGAATTGAGAATCATGATCAAGACAAATATAAATGATCAAATACAAATACAAAAATAGTAAGACACAAATAAGAATTGAAACCATGACTAAGACAATAAATGTAATGTGAAGCTTCTTGGAAGCCAAGGCCAAAAAAAGAAGTTTACTTATAAACAATGCTACCTTTTCGTGTCGTTGTGCCTAGTGCACGGAGCAGCATCAGGCATGGCTGACACCGTACATTGGGAGCTGGAGCTTTTCCAGGGCATCAGCTCAGAATGCAAGTCTGCCAGTGCTGAGTGCACTTACTTCAGTAGCCACAGCACCCGTCCCTGGCACCTCACCTCGTACTGCTGCATCAGCTGCACCATGGAGTCCCCCACAAACAGCACGTCAGGCTCTTTGTCTTTACAGTCCAGGACGAATCTGTTGTGCTGGTGGAAGAAGGAAACATTAGAAACTGGCCTCTCTTTCCCCGGGAGACTTGTTGGCCTAGATATAACAGCTGTCCAACCAGCACTCTGCAGTTCAACCTCCATCATGGCCTGTCCCTAAAGCTGATCCCTCTTGATTGGCAATAGACTGGTGGAACTTTCTTCCCACCCTTACTATAGTCATCATTCTAGGACACTAAAGAAAACAGCAATTTTACTGAAACCAAAATTTTAAAAATACATTTAACACTTTTTTTAAAAAATGTATCTTTTCCTCAAGCCTTTAAAAGAAATTTTCAGATATACAAGCAGAAAAGCTGAAGTAATACAATGAATACCTGTACATCTTCCACCTAACCAATAACATTTCCCCATATTTGTTTTCTCTGTATGTATTTGTGGAACCATTTGGAGGACTTGAAGGTCAGTGTGATTCCTCACCCTTAAATATTTCAGCATGCATCTCCAGAGTGTAAAACCATTAAATCATTATCACATCTAAGAAAATGAACAATAATCCCATAATATTTAACATTCAGTCCATTTTCAATCTTTCCAATTGTCCCAAGAGTTGGATTTCTATCTATCCAATCAAGAAGCATATAATTTACTTGGATGCCTTTGAAAATGTCTGTTAACCCCAAATGTGAGACACGGGCAAACTAGCCTTTTTCAGTCTAATCCAAGCTGATAAGCAGTGGTGATTTATTAGGTCTAGTAATAATTAATGTCGTTTTCTAATACTTTTTTAAATCGAATTTAAACAATACAACAAAATTTAATCAACAATATAGTTGCCGTTGTTTTCTACTACTTGTGCCCAACGCTCAGGAAGCATTATAATCCCTCTGATGTAAAATTCTTGTGTTTTTTTTAAAAAATATATTTTGTTGATTTTGTACAGAGAGGAAGGGAGAGAGATAGAGAGTTAGAAACATCGATGAGAGAGAGTCATCGACCAGCTGCCTCTTGCACACCCCCCACTGGGGATATGCCCGCAACCAATGTACATGCCCCCGACCGGAATCGAACCTGGGACCCTTCAGTCCCCAAGCCGACGCTCTATCCATTGAGCCAAACCGGTCTCGGCAATTCTTGTGATTTTGATGCAAAAAATTCGGTCAATGCATTTTTGAGGCATTCTTCGTTATTAAATTTTTTTCCAAGAAGAAAGTTTTGCAAAGAACGAAACAAATGGTAATCGGAAGGGGCAATATCAGGAGAATATGCAGGTTGAGGGAGAACTTCCCATTCCAACTGGCGCAGTTTTTCAGCAGTGATTCTTGCAGTATGCGGTCGTGCGTTATCGTGAAGAATTACGCCCTTCCGATTAATCAGCGCAGGTTCTTTTTCTCTTAAAGCTTGGGCTAACCTTTCCAATTGGGCACTATACACTGCACTTGTAATGGTTTGGGTAGATGGTAAAAGTTCATAATGAAGAATTCCTTTAAAATCCACACATCACTTTTTTCGCATGCAAGTCAGGTTTTGGCGTGGGCTGCGGAGCCTCATTTTTGTCCAACCATTGAGGCCGCCTTTTCAAATGAACATACAGCACCCATTTTTCATCTCCGGTAACAATTTGCTCTAAAAACGCCAAACGGTTTTGATGAGAGAGGAGCGAACTGCAAATTGTGACTCTTTGATTACGGTTGTTGTCGGTCAACTCATGAGGAACCCATTTTCCAAACTTTTGGACTTTGCCAAGTGCACGCAATTGATTGGAAATTGTTTTTTGTGAACAATTTAAAGTTGTCGCAAGCTCTTGTTGGGTAATTTGAGGATTTTGCACCAAAAGAACTTGAAGAGCTTCTTGATCAAAATTGGACACACGGCCTTGACCAGTCTTGTCATCTAACAAAAAATTTCCCTTGCGAAATTTCTCAAACCAACGCTGGCATTTTCTGGCGCTAACTGCATCTTGACCAAGAGCACTACAGATGTTTTTTGCAGCCTCACTTGCTTTTCTTCCTAATTGGAACTCGTAAAGCATGCAGTGCCGAATATGCTCTTCATTCGCCATCTTCTTAGCCCTAGTTTTGCAACAAAAACCAAACCAAACACAAACTTTTTCAAGCAAAACTTGTTAATTGCACTTCACACGTTCTGTAGATACCACGTGTTTGAAGGTTATGTCAATACAAGTCAACGCCAAGCAAGATTTTAAACGAATGTTAAAAAACGACATTAATTATTACTAGACCCGATACCTTTCAATCCCAAAAGAACATTGCATGTCATGAAATTGAGGCTCTCCTGTTGTTAGTATTCCATATTTTCTTTTTAAGTATAAAAGTAATTGCAGTAAGTTTGGAGAAATATAAAAGATCAAACAAAACACCTCCCATTGCCCCAACTAAGGTTGAACCCACAACCTTTTGGTGTATGAGATGACACCCTAACCAAGCCATCTGGCCAGGACAAAAGCATAATTTTTAAAGGACACATAATATCCCACTGAATGAACCTAGTGACACCTTTTTAAAAAATATATATATACAATATTATTGATTTTTTTACAGAGAGGAAGAGAGAGGGATAGAGAGTCAGAAACATCGATGAGAGATGAGAGAGAAACATCGATCAGCTGCCTCCTACACACCCCCTACTGGGGATGTGCCCGAAACCCAAAGTACATGCCCTTGACCGGAATCAAACCTGGGACCTTTCAGTCCGCAGGCCGATGGCTATCCACTGAGCCAAACTGGTTTTGGCCCTTTTTATTTTTTAAGGCTCTTTTATCTATTGATAGATTTACCAGTAGCTTATTTATTGATAGATAAATTATTTTACTTTTAACATTGTAGAAATTCTTAAATCAAAGGGGATTAAATTTTTTATAGATTTTGGATATATTTCCAAATTCTTAACAAAAAAGCTCTCTCTCTACTGTCTCCAGCAATGTATGAGAACTGGTTTCACCATGCTTGCATGGGCACTGAGTATTAATATTTCTCCCTTCCCACTGTTTTAATCTGTATTTTTTTAAACCAAAAATTTAACACTTCTTGTCATGTTTATTGAGATATTTATCTAGTGGTACCTTAAAGATCTTTTTATTGACATTAAACAAAAACAGTAATGCTTCATCTTTAATATTTATTGCAAATAGTTTCCTCAGTCTGCTGCTGAATCTTTCTCTGGCTAATGTTTTGATACTTGTATTAAATTTATCTATAGTCAAGTCTTTCAATTATCACCCTTAAAAACCTTTTATTGTGGAAAATATCAAATATACACATAGAAAACACAAAGAACCTTTATGTATCTATCTGTCATCAGTTACAGCAATTATCTAACTTATTGCCAGTATTATTTCAGTCACTCCCCCAAACTACTGCCCCACCCACTCCTCGATTATTGTGAAGCAAACTGATACAGCATTTCATGTACAAATATTTCACTATGTAATTCCTAAAAGATTATACCCTCTCTCTCTTCCTCTCTGTAAAAAAAAAAATTAATAAAAAATATATTTAAAATTAGGACCCAAGTTATATCTTAAATCCCCTTCCACGTCTTAAAAATATACTAGAGGCCTCATGGACAAATTCGTGCATGGGGTGGGGGTGGGTGTCCTCAGCCCAGCCAGCGATCAGGGCTGGCCAGCTGGGGGGGAAGGACTGCGGGAGGTGACCACCAGGGGCAGTTCCTGCATTGAGTGTCTGCCCCCTGGTGGTCAGTGCACATCATAGCGACCAGTTGTTCGGTTGTATTTTTCACTTAGGAATATATATATATATATATATATATTTATTCAGAGAGGAAGGGAGAAGGAGAGCTAGAAACATCAACGATGAGATGTTTAACCACTTAATATTGGCTGCCTCCTGCACACCTCACACTGGGGTTCAAATCTGCAACCTAGGCATGTGCCCTCACCAAGAATCAAACTGTAACTTCCTGGTTCATAGGTTGCCGCTCAACCACAGAGCTATGCCAGTTGGGCTCTCTTAAATCCCTTTTAATCTATAGCTTTCCCCGCCCTCTGTCACCATCTCCCAAACTTATTTTTAAGGAATGTGGGTACTTGACTTCCTGTCTAGATTATGTTGTTTACATTCTTGTGGTGGTGGCGCTAACTGTTCACGTGTTCCAGGTATTTCCTGATATGTGGTAGTTAAGTCTACATTAGAGTTGACATTTTGGTAATATTTTGAGGGTAGTACTGATTATAACTTGAGTATTTGTTTTAATCATGATTAGTTTTCTTAATATTTTCAAAATAATTTTAGTTCTACAAAAGAGATCCAAAGACAATAAAGTATTTCCGTATGTCCTTCACTCAGCTTATTCCAACATCCTACATAAATAAGCATGATACATTTGTCAAAACTAAATTGGCAAACACCATCAACTAAAATAGTTTATCCAAATCTCACTCATTTTTCCACAGCTGTTCTTTTCCTGTCCCCAGAGCCTGCCCAGGACATCATGCTGCATTCAGCCTACATGTCTCCAGCCTATGCCAACGCGCGAGTCTTGGGTCTTTTCTGACACCCCATGCTCTGGTCAGTGTTCTGGAGAATGTCCCTCCACGTGGGTTTGATGATGTTTTGTCATGAGGTTATGGATTCTTCTGGAAGACTACCAGAGGTGAAGTGTCCTTGTTTTATCAGGGGGCACATGATTCTGATATGACTTATTACTGGTGATGTTAACATCAATTACTTGGTTAAGGTGGAGTTTGCTACAATTCTCCATTATAAAGGTTTTTTTTTTTTTTTTTTTTTTTTTTTTTTTTTTTTTTTTTTTTTTTTTTTTTTTTTTTTTTTTTTTTAACATTCTCTACTTGTTTTCAGAAGCAAGACACTAAATTCACAGCCCACATTAAAGTTCCACCTGCTGAAGAGAAGGGTGTCAAATGCTATGTGGTTGTACATTAAAATCACAAAAGTAATTTACAGGGAAATACTCTGAGGTTAGGCAAATACTTTTCCTCCTTTAAGCGTCCCGATTTCAGATTTCATTAATAGATCTTGCCTACTGTAATTATTACT